AAAAAAAAAAAAAAAAAAAAAAAAAAAAAAAAAAAAAAAAAAAAAAAAAAAAAAAAAAAAAAAAAAAAAAAAAAAAAAAAAAAAAAAAAAAAAAAAAATGAGTGTGTCTTGTAACTTCTTTAATTGTTTTGTTTATAAAATCATAAAATTCTCTTTCTGTTAATGAAACTGAATCTCTTATAATAAATAACTCATAATTTGATGCTTGTAAGGGAAAAAGGAGAAAAAGTTTCCTTTAAATCGGAAACAGTTAACTTTTATAATTGAGGTATCACTTCTTGTTTCGAGATTATTTTACACAATTGTATAAAAACTGCGCTAAAATGTAACCCTTTTAACTCTCATTTTTATAGGAGTGATAGCTTTATTTTTTTTTAACCATAAAACTATTTCAAAAACATAAAATTAAAACAAAAATATGTCTCAGTTGAAGTTTAACCTATAGCGGTACTCTTTTTGCCGGAATAATATTACCGCCGATATATATTTTTTCCCAGGCATCTTTTTATTTTATTTTATATGAAATACTATGTAATTCACTGAGTGTTATTAAAAAAAAAAGACTATACAAATATCATAACTAAGCATAAAAACTAATTGAATATCGAATGTTAGCCTTGAAAATAAGAAATAAGAGGGAGTAGAAGCATCGTGTGAGTGCTGCCAGGTGCAAACCTCTTCTACTACACAGATAACATTCACTTTTGTACTTTAAATTACAGTGTACACAATCCAGTATATATTTCAACTTCATATTGACATTGAAATCTGGCGGACAATGATGTATTCATATGAAAGCCTGCCGGGACGCCAGGCTCACGGGAGGTCGCTCCCAACGGTTGGCACGATTCCACAATATTGTAAGGCATATTTACAAAAATTCATTTTATTTTGTTTTGTTTCAAAACACATGAATGACATTATTAAGTATTACACCTTTATTTGACTTTTATTTTGCTGGGAAAAAAATGCACGAGTATCAGGTATCCATTTTTATTTTGGAACAAATCCAATGGCCTCTTTGCTACTGGAAAGCCACATTAATTAATCATTTGCATACAGCTCATATTCCCCACTAAAAAGAAGCTGGTTACATCAGAAATTAAGAGAAACCAATGACAGTCCAGGCCAAGTTATCAGACACACTGTAAGATTCCATGTTAAATCTGAATTATCATGTGATACTATACAGCTTTATTGTTTCTACGCGACTGAAACCGTTTTACACTTGTTTATGTTCGTGCATCAATGGGTTAACATTGTAATGCAATATGTTAAAAATAAATACAAATAGGAAGTATAAATAAAAAATCGCTTGTATAGAAACCCATTACATGTATGCTTAAATGCAAAAGTATTGCATATAAACTCGTGCAAAACATGTATAAAAAAACTACAGTGTGTCTAATAATTTGGTCTAATTTTTATAACATACTTATATACTTGATATAATAAATATGCTATATTTATATCATATATCGTCAAATTTATATTAAATATCGTCTAATTTAACCCATTGATACACTAACGTAAGCAATTGTAAGCAGTCGCGTAAGAACAATAATGCTATATAGTATCACCTGATAATTAAGATTTCATATATCATAATTATTTAATATTAACCGAATTTTGTTTTATTTGATACATCATAAAAATAATTTATTACGTATTATTAATACAGGCTATGTACTACATTAATGTATGCAAACAGTACTACTATGAACCAAACAAATTTTAAAAAAAGGCTTAAAATTTTTAACTACTTTATTAAACTATTTTATTTTCACTATTCAATTTATTTGCCCATTTACAATTCCTAACAAAGTTAGAAAATTGAAATAGCGTTATTGTGATTTTATTCACGTGCTTATTATCTGTGTTGTGTTCAGTTTTCTTTAATGTTAAGCAATAATCAGCTTTAACTTCATATATTAAGCATTACAATTATAACTGTTGTTGAACAGCCGATCCAATTTCTGGGTTTACGACAACTAATGTTCATGTCCGCAGTCTTGTAATTTTGAACCCAATTTAGAAGACAAGGGAACTCCTAGATAGAGTATTGGGAGAAATTTGCCTTCGTGGAGGATTTGCGCATTTGCGTCATATGGTCCACGAGAATCTCCAATGGTTAGATTGATGGCAAAGGGACTTTAACCCATGATGGTCCGTCTATCACTGAGGATATTTCACGTCAACACTATGTTCGGTGCAAGCCAGATTACTCGTAATCGTTTTTGTTGTGATTACTTGTAATCGCAACTACTTGGAATCATGATTACAGATGTAATCAAAATTTTTTGAAAGTTGTAAGCATGATTACAAGTAATTGATTACTGTAATCGACTATGTAATCATGATTACAACTGTAATCAAACTTTGTAATCATGATTACAAGTAATTGATTACTGTAATTGAGAAATGTAATCGATTATATTTTCTCTCTACTCTGATGTAATCAAAAATTTTGATTACTTGTAAGATAGGTTGAACTCCGACCCACCCCAGGGGGGTATACGGAGATAAAAGTTAAATTATTGCATTAAAAAATTTCTCTAAAAACTAAAATTACAGTAAAATTTTGCCAAATGACAGTGGTGGGGATCAGTTAAAAGTGGAATAACTATAACATTTGACAAATGAAAACATGTTTTAAAGGCAATGAAATCCAATAGCGCCGGTGTTAATGTCGAGAATTAAATTATTATAATAATAAGGAAACAGGAGATAAAAAAATCTCAAAACTAAAATCAGTGAAAGCTAAAAGTCCTAAGTGTAAATGTCTAAAAGTAAAAGTCTGGCTAGAAATCAATAAAATCTAAAATCAAAAGTAGATAAAATTTCAAAATGATTAGTAAAAATTAACGTTAAAAGTTGATTAGTAAAAATTAACGATGACATGTTCTATTGTTGGTTCATGACTGGGGTCATTTGATTACTTGTAATAGTGATTACAAGTAATTGATTACATAGCTGTAATTATCTGTAATCAGTTGCTGTAATCGAAGGCTAACCCTGCTTTCTGGGGATCTTGATTCTCACAATAACTAAAAAATTATGAGATTTATGCGTAACAGCCAACATGGATAGGAAAAAATCCAGAAGATTTTACGAAGTAATATAATTTTCATTACAATTACTACATAATCTACTAAATATTTTACGCATAGGAAATTTTAGGGATTTTTATGGTAATCAAAATAGAAAAACTGCAACATCATCCAGTCATGATAGAAATTAAAAATGCCTAATGTGTTCTGAATTATGTTAGCTTATAACTTCGAAAATTAATAGACATTTAATTCATCAAAGATAGTTAAGAGATTTTTTAATTACTAATTTAAAAATAGAGTTCTGAATGAAAACAAAACAAAAAAAGCATTTCAAACAGAGCATTCTAAAACAAAAAAAAGTTATGTACTGATTTCTATAGACGAGATTCGCTTCATTATGTATTAGTAATACTTATTTAATTTAAATTAATAATACTTTTTTAATTTAAATTAGTAATACTTATTTACACAATTTTTGGAAATCAGGAGAATTTTAATTAAAACAATAGA